AATAAAAAATTAAAAACATCCTGGAAACTAATGACAACAAAAACACAGCAAACCAAAATCTATGGGACAAAATGAAAGCAGTCCTAAGAGGGAAGTTTATAGCTCTATAGGCCTACCTCAAAAAAACAAGAAAAAATGATAGTAAATCATCTAACTCTACAACTCAAATAATTAGAGAGGGAGTAACAAGAAAAGCACAGAGTGATAATAAAGATCAGAGCAGAAATAAATGACATACAGACAAAAAAAAAAAAAAAAAAAAAAAAAAAAAAAAGAGCTGGTTCTTCGGTTCTTCAAAGGGATAAACAAGATTGATGAACCTCTATCCAGGCTCACCAAGAAGCAAAGAGAGAGGATCCAAATAAACAGTATAAAAAATGAAAGAGGTGAAATAACAACAGACCCCACAGAAATACAAAGGATTGTTAAAAAAAAAAAATACTATGAACAAGTCTATTCAACAAACTAGACAACATGAAGAAAATGGACACATTCCTAGAAAAACACAACTTTCTAAAACTTACTCAGGAGGATTCTAAGAATCTTAATAGGCTGATAACTATGGAAGAAATTGAAGCAGTCATCAAAAAGCTTCCAGAAAACAAAAGCCCAGGGCCAGACAGCTTCACATGGAAGTTTTACCAAACATTCAAGGAAGAACTAAAACCTATCCTCCTCAGACTATTCCAGAAAATTCAAGAGGAAGGAACACTTCCAAACTCCTTCTATGAAGTCAGCATCATCCTAATATCAAAAACAGATAAAGACAATACAATGAAAGAGAATTACAGGCCAATATCCCTCATGAACATAGATGCCAAAATCGTCAACAAAATTCTAGCAAATCAAATCCAGCAGTTCATCAGAAAGATCATACACCATGACCAGGTAGGATTTATCCCAGGGATGCAAGGATGGTACAATATTCACAAATCAATAAATGTGATACATCACATAAACAGAGAAATAAAAATCACATAGTCATATCAATTGATGCAGAAAAAGCATTTGACAAAATCCAACACCCTTTCTTGATAAAAACTCTCAGCAAGGTGGGAATAGAAGGATTATACCTCAACATAATAAAAGCCATACATGACAAATATACAGCCAACATCATACTCAATGGGCAAAAACTAAAACCATTTCCTCTAAGAACAGGAACAAGACAAGGATAACCACTCTCTCCACTTCTGTTCAACATAGTTCTGGAAGTACTAGCCATTGGGATCAGACAAGAAGAAGAAATAAAAGGCATCCAAAATGGAAAAGAAGAAGTAAAACTATCCTTATTTGCAGATGACATGATACTGTACATAGAAAACCCCAAAGACTTTATCAAAAAATTATTAGACTTAATAAATGAATTGTGCAAGGTAACAGGATACAAAATTAATGCCAATAAATCTATGACATTTCTATACACCAATAATGAATTTACAGAAACAGAGACTAAAAAAGCAATCCCATTTACCATTGTACCAAAAAAATTAGGATACCTAGAATAAACTTAACTAAGGAAGTAAAAGACATGTAGCAGAAAAAAGACACTGAAAAAAGAGATAAACTGACTGAAATGGAAAATATTATGCAGAGATCCAACAGCAGAATGGAGGAACACAAGAATCAGGTCAAAGATTTGGAATACAAAGAGCCAAAGAACACTCCTCTGGAGAAGCAAGAAGAAAAGATAATCCAGAAAGTTGAAGATAGTGTAAGGAGACTTTGGGACAACTTCAAGTGTACCAACATCAGAATTATGTGGGTGCCAGAAGAAGAGAGAGAGCAAGATACTGAAAACCTATTTGAAGAAATAATGACACAAAACTTCTCCCACCTGGTGAAAGAAATAGACTTACAAGTACAGGAAGCGCACAGAAGCCAAAAATTGAGGAATCCAAAGAGGACCACACCAAGACACATCATAATTAAAATTCTGAGGACAAAAGACAAAAAGAGGATCTTACAAGCAGCAAGAGAAAAGCAGTTGGTTACCTATAAGGGAGCACCCATACAACTATCAGCTGATTTCTCAACAGAAACTATGCAGGCCAGAAGGGAGTGGCAAGAAATATTCAAAGTGATGAATAGCGAGAACCTACAACCAAGATTACTCTACCCAGCAAAGCTATCATTCAGAATTGAAGAGCAGATAAGGAGTTCACAGGTAAGAAAAAGCTAAACGAGTTCATCACCACCAAACCAGTATTATATGAAATACTGAAAGGTATTCTTTGAGAAGAGGAAGAAGAAAGATAAACATTATGATCAACAAATACATATATATATCAACAAATAAATCTAAAAATAAAGTGAATTAAAAATCTGACGAACAGAATAAACTGTTGAATATAATAGAATCAGAGGCAAAGAAATGGAGTGGATTGATAATTATCAGGGGGAAAGGGGTATGGGGGAGCAGGAAGAGATTGGATTAAAATTGTACATCTATGAATGAGAACAATGGGGGAGGAGTTAAGGGCAGAGGGTGGGGTGGGAACTGGGTGGAAGGGAGCTATGGGGGAAAAATGGAGAAACAATTGGGCAATAAAGATTTATTTTTTTAAAAAAAGGTATTACTCATAGTCATTAAACAATATCCTAACAATAACTGCATAATATAAAACAAAGATTCTATTTATAAGGCCAAAAAAATTCAATGTCTAAAAAGAAATTTAAGCAAATTAAGGAAAATAAAAAAAATTTATAGGAAATCTAAAATAAAGAGGAAATGTATATTTTACAAATTCATAGGAATTAATGTTAATCAATATTATTGGGAAAATGTAAATTATAAAGTTTGTACTGCTGGAATACAATTTTTAAATTTAACACAACACTAACTAGAAAAGAAAAAAGAATTTTCTCTTATACAGCCTTTAAAAAAAAAACATAATCTGGAGAGGTAACTTTTTTTTCCTTTCTATCTGAAATTCTAAGAATTATGCTTTTTATATACAGAATTCATAAATGTATCATAAATTCATGACATATATTATTTAGATTTTTCACTGTGTTGGCATGTACATTGATGGAGTAAATGAAATTACTGACATCTTAACAAAAGTAAAATTGATGACACTGAAATGTGCTAGTAGTCATGTATGTACTTATCATTACCACACACTTGCAAAAGAAAAAACAAAAATTGAATTGAGAACATCCATGATAAATAAAACAAAATTATTAAATTTTGACCGCTGTGTATACATTATTTTAATATTCTGTCGATGAAATAGGAAATACACATCAAGGACATCTGTGGTATAATAAGTATGATGATTGTCTCAAGGAAAAGAATTGTTAGTTTTTACATTTGTTCTTACATAGACTCATTTAATATTCCTTTTCTGAGTATATATGTGTGCTGAGCTCTGTGTTAGAAAGTTAGGTCAAAACCAGATAGAACACAAGGGCTCTTCTCTGGAACATTTAACCCAATAGGGAGAGGAGGCAACCCAAAGTTGACTGCCCTATGATAGCTGTCAAGGGAAAAATAAATACATTGTACACTTATAAGAAATGGAGGGAAAGGTACAGCTCTAGAAGTCCTGAGATGCTTAAAATAGAAGAAGCCACTTGCACATAGGAAAATGAGCAATCACCAGCTGTAATAGTAAACCCTAAAACAATTCAAAGACTTATCATCTCAGTGAAGTTCCCGGGGTTTCAAAGGTCCAAAGAATACTGAGCTATCCCCTTCGAGGTGAAAGACATGCAGCTGCACATCACCCCACCTACCACAGAAAAGGAGGCACAGCACTGGAGAGGCCTTTTAAGATTTTGGAAGCAACAGACACTCCATGTGGGTGGGTGTTGCTTTTACTTATTTACAGAGTCACCTATAGAGCGGCCAGAGTTGAATGGGGATGAGAGCAAGAGGAAACTACAGCCAGTTTGGACTTCAGTGCCATCCACTTTGCCACTTTGGTTTTATCATTCAACAAATTCTACACTGATGTTTGATTTTCCATAGTAAATAGGATGAAGAATTTGGAAAACACCAACAATTGACCTGCAGCATTGTCCTGTAATCTATATATAAAAGGCTAATATGCTAAGTGCCCTACTGACTGGGTAATGACATCATGTAGCAACGCCTGGCTTCATCTCCCTTGTGACCAGCCTCCTTGCAGTTTCTTCAGCCCAGGAACAAGACTTGCTTTATAGCCAGGTGGAAACATTTTATACTTTTACCAAATGTCTGTGAAGCATTTTTCCATGCCTCATCTCATTTGATCCTCACAGAAGTCATGGAATTGATAGATAGGAGACTTGGAGACTTTCTGCTAATGAAAAGAAAATTCTATTTTCTTTTCATTAGCAGAAAATTGGAGATTTAGAACGTTTAGAAACTTGACCCAACTGAAAATAAGTAAGAAATGATGGACCTTGGAAATGACTTCAGGTTTTCTCACTGCGCAGAATATAGTCAAACACTCCTGCAATTAAACATTTTACCCTTTATTCTCCCTGAGTAATCTACAATAATAATCTGCTTTGTGTTGATATTTACTGCTGTGTTGTTAACAATTACCTTCACTGGTCTGGAAAAAGTTTAGCTAAATCAGCGAATGCACGATACATATAAAGCTCTTGCTGGCACCAATGGTACACATGTGTTTTGAACTGTCATTGTTGATTGTAAATTTGGTTGACACTTCTATTATACAAAAAGGGCAAATAGCAATATTAAAATATTTCTAATTAATTTCCTTTCAACGTGTATGAATTCATGCACGGAGCCACTAATATAGATAATGAGAAACTTGCCATTGTAGTTCTTTGGTTTGGCATAAATTATTATGTACTTTAAAAAATCACATAAAATCAATGAAACTTCCACATCATGTTAACATCATATGTATATTTACTAACTGGGTAAAATGAGATATACTCTGTGGAAGAACAGAAAATGCTGTGCCCTACATACTGTGAGTTGACATATTCGCCACAACAGGTATTTTTGTTTGCAGTTGGAAAACAGTCTTCGTTTCAATGGCAAATACCTGTATGTTTCCTGATAACAGACACTGAGGGTCAATGTGGCTCCTAGAATAACCCGGCTGGTCCCCTTCAGCCCCATGTGAGCCCTTTGGGTTTGTGCTCAGCTCCCCCTGCAGCCTCCCTCACTGTGTCTCCCAGAGTGCAGTAGTACACAGCCGAGTCTGACACTTGCACTGAAGATTTCTTCAGGTGGAAAGTTCTGTCTGTCTTCACAAGCTTGGCCCAAAAACCTCTGTTCCTCACCTCCTGGTTATCCGATGAGCTTTTCAGGAGGAGAACAGGCTCTTTGTTTTGATATTGAACATACCAGAAAAGAATATCTGAATAGATAGTTTTGTAACTGCATTTCAGGGTTAAAAATGCCCCCTCTATGAGGGTAACAGAGCCTTCTGTCTGGTTCACTGAGTCTCCATTGGTCCCCCCTAAAAAAAAAAAAAAAAAGTAAAGGTTTTGTTACATTGGCAAATGAAGAGGGATAATCTCCAGTTTGGTAGGGATTAAAAATTATCCTAAAACCAAGGAATAGAACATCTTCAACCTCTTGAATAAAGATTACTTACTCAATATCAACAAGATCACAAGTCCCAAGCAGGAGGGAGACAGCATGGCTGACAGAGAAGCAGCAGCAGCCTTGGTTGGTAATACTGAAGCAGAGAGGGCTGTCTCTCTACTCTCTGATCCGTTATGGGAATAGTGTTGGCTCAGGTGTTAAGCAAGACAAACTGCCCTGCAAGTTCATGTCACAGGCTATAAAAATGTGTGTTCAGGGATGGAAGAGGTGTGTCAGACCACCACTTAAGGGCAGCAGCGCCCTCTCCTGGTTCCTCCTCTGACCTGCAGTCTGTTTTGAATTTGACATTTACCTTGGAGTGGAGTTTAAATTGTAGTCATAGAAGGGAAATCCTGCCTGTGGTGAGAGGTAGAGCTCCAGGAAAGAAGCACCAAACACTTTCTGCAGGCTTCACAGTGGTGTATGAGGTTGAGACAGTGTGCAGTTCCTCAGTCTCCTCTTTAACATTCAGGGCAATAGGGCTTGCTTAAGTCTCCCTAGTCCCAGCATCTAAAGTCTGTTCATATCAAGTATTATCAACAATCCTATTTAATAAAGAGAGAATGTGCTAATTGACTGCCCAGCCCTCAAAGATGAGGGCACCCACAGTCACAAGATGGTGGTGCCCAGTCTCCTTAGCCCCGCCAGGGCAACAGGCACGTGGCACTGCTGGGTCCACCCCCAGGTGGTTCTGGCTGTACCACACGCGTGGTCCGGAGTTCCCCAGTCCCGTCAGCCCCCCGGATGCCCAGAATGGGCCCGAGGTGCAAACAAGCCTGAGATGGCAGCTGCCCAGTCTCCTAGGGCCACCTGAGGCTCAGCTAACCAGAGCCAGCAGAGGCTTGCGCTGTCAGCAGTGGCAGCAGCAAAGGTGTGATGGGGGTGTCACCTTCCCCTGATTGCCAGGTTGTCTCCTGCCCCTGAGAGCTCCTGGAGAGGGGGCAGGCCAGGCTGAGGGAACCCCACCTCCCTCCAGTGCATGATTTTTTTCATGCACCAGGCCTCTAGTATCTTATAAAAGAGTCATATAAAAAGAACAGGGTACTTTTAAAAAATATTTTTTTATTGATTTAAGAGAGGAAGGAAGAAGGAGAAAGAGATATAGAAACATCAATAATAAGAGAATCATTGATCGGCTGCCTCCTGCACATCCCCCACTGGGTATCTAGTTTGCAACCTGAGCATGTGCCCCTTACTGGAATCAAACATGGGACCTTCCAGTCTACAGTCCAGCACTTTATCCACTAAACCAAAACAGCTAGGGCAGAACAGGGTATTTTTAATAAAATAATACTAATGTTATTAAAGAGAGAGAGAGAGAGAGAGAGAGAGAGAGAGGGGAGATTAGGAGCATGTTTGTAGAATGAAGTTGGAAAGTATCAAGATCCTAAATTATTCAAATTTTTGTAGGTCATACTAAGAACTTTTTCTTTAGTTAAAAAGCAAATGGGGCCCAGCCAGTGTGGCTAGGTGGTTGAACATCTACCTATGAAGCAGGAGGTCCAGTTAAATTTCCAGTCAGGGCACATGCCTGGACTACAAGGGAGTGTGCAGGGAGCAGCCTATCAATGATTCTCTCTCATAATTGATGTTTCTATCTCTCTCTCCCTTCCACTCTGAAATCAGTAAAAATATATTCTAAAAAGTAAATAAATAAAGCAAATGGAGACCTTATTTTTAAAAAATATATTTTATTGTATTTTTACAGAGAGGAAGGAAAAGGGATAGTTAGAAACATCAATGATAGAGAAACATTGATCAGCTGCTTCCTGCACACCTCCCACTGGGGATGTGCCCACAACCAAGGTACATGCCCTTGACCAGAATTGAACCTGGGAACTTTCAATCTGCAGGTCAACGCTCTATCCATTGAGCCAAACTGGTTAGGGTGCAAATGGAGATCCTAGTAGCCAATTTCTGAGATAAGACCCCTGTCAAGGACTTCATTGGAAAGTGATGGGTGTGTCAGTGGGCTGGGGAGCAAGGGATTAAGATGGATTTTCAATTAGGATTGTAGAGGTGAGTTGGGCTGTGGAGGCTGTGATATTTTCAGGAGGGTTTCTAGGCAGCAAATTCAACAGTTGGGAGACATAGTGGGATATGCTATTTCAAAAATGAATAACTGCGAATTAAAAAAAAACACAAACACATGTGGGAATAAACTTATGGCTGCCAAAGAGAAGGCAGACTGCAAGATAGTGTGTGATGAGAAAACAAAGGGAGAGTGTGTGGTCCCACGGGAGTGTTTGTTGGTGAGTTGAGGGACAGTTATATTTCAGGAGACTGTGGGGGACTACTGGACAGGGATTCCCTGAGCACACAGACCCCTCTACTGCTGGGTTCCCACCCAGAAAGACTGGCTAAGATGCAGAGACCAGGTCATCTTGAAGGGGGAAGTGGATTTTATGGGAAAGAGTGAAAAGCCCAGAGAATCTATAACTATGGCACCCACCTAACAGCTGTGAACCTGAGAATATGGATCCCCAAATGGCGCAAGCCTGCGAATTCTGAGGAACTCTACCCTCCCTCACAGAAGGTCAGATTTCGCCTGGGATAAGCTGAGGCTTATGGTCCTGGTAGAAGAGAGAAACTCGTGAACCATGGGAGCTGGGAAACCTGGGGAAGTCTCCACCCAGAAAAATCCGCGGCCCTTGGGGCTGGCATGATCCCTGAATGTGGAAGTGGGCCCTCACAGCTGCTACCAGAAGGAACTCTAAAAACAACCCATTTAGATCTGTACACAAAAGGACACCTTAAGTATTTTGAAAGTGTGACAGCTGCTTAGACCCAAGGGGGGAAAAAAGACTGCACAGACTTACATACAATGCTCTGGAATTTGCACACTTACTCTGGCTCTTTTCTTGGCTCTTTTTTTTTCTTCTTTAAATCCTTTCTTCTGATTACTAAACACATTACATAGGTTCACCCAATTGGGAGCACCCAAAGACACTGCAGGGGAAATCTGTTTTCTTGGAAACTGGGGATCAAAGCTGGGAATAACCATTAGAGAACCAGCTCTTGGGCAACCCATTCCCACAAGTATTAAGTGCCACAGGGAAAACAAATTCTAAACACCAGCTAAAGAGAACCTATAGACCCGGAGGTATCAATCCCAAAACACTGCCACCCAGAGGTTGAATTACAATTAGACTCCTGTGTAAACACAAAGAAAGGAATACAAGAAATAGAGATGTACTGCCTGTATAAAACTCAGCACTGACAACATTGAGGAGCAGTGGAACTCAGGCAACCTCAATACTGTCCTGACTAGGATACAGGTGAACCAAACAGAAAAGTAGAGGAAGTGAATGACCTTCACTGCTGCACATTTTTATTTTTTAAAAACATTTTACGTAAGAAACTATTTTCTTTTTTCCTCACTTGATTTTATCTTTTTAATTATTACATTTTTATTTTCCATCAGTATTATTACTACTACTTTTATGCCTTTTTTAAAAGTGTCATTTTATTTTCTCTTTATTTAATTTGGGATTAGTGTTCTACATTCTATTTTCATCTTTCCTTTAGCATCCTTTTACTCTTTGTACTTTCCTTTTGTGCCAACACTCTTCCTCATTTTCCCCCTTTTGTTGTCCTTTTTCTCTTACCCTGTTCCAGCCTTAGATTTTCCCTTTCACTTTATCACTCTTAAAATTTCATACTTATATTCCAATCCCCTGCTGCAAGTACATATACCCCTCTCTTCTATTTCTTTACTATCCAGTAACTTTCCTCTCTTTGTTGTTGTTTGCTTGATTGTTTATTATATTATTTTTATGCTTGTTTGTGAGATTCTTTTGCTTGTTCCTTTTTGTTTGTGTTTTTTGGTGTTTTTTTGTTTTTTGTTTGTTTGTTTATTTTTGTTTTTGTTTTTTTGCTTTTTATTTTCCCTCGCCCAACGTAATATTAGTTTTTGTTTCTAGTTTGCCTTCAGCTCCAGGTACTTGTTGCTGGCTTTTGTTGGTATTAGTGACTGTTCAATTCCAGTTTTCTCCCCATATATGTAGTTTGTTCCCCTCTTCTTTATTATTCTCTTTATTTTTCCCGTTACTTTTTGTTCTTTATTCAAATTTCATTTTTGTGCTCTTTTTTTCTCTCTTCTTTTTTCTCACTTATTCACTAATTCACATTTCCCTCGTGGTCGCCTTTATTTGCAGTTATTAAGTCATGAATACATTTCTATTACATGCCATATGCATTCTACCTGGTTGTGTTGAATTTTGTGTCATTAAATCAATACAGGAGCGAGAAACTACAAAAACATACACTTGGAGAAGTGAGATACTGGGGAGCCAAAGTAACAGCCCACATATTGAAAACAAAACAAAACGAAACAAAAAAAACAGGCATCAACAGAAAAGGAAGTAAAATTGAAACTAGCAACCTGTCAAAGAAAAATTCAGAGAAATGATCAAAAGGTGGTTGAAAAGAATGGAAGATAAATTTGAAAGTATGTGTTAGAACCAAGAGTAAATGAAGAATAACTAAGAAAAAATGAAATTGCTAATATAAAGAATAGAAAGCATCAAGAGTAGACTAAAAGAAGCAGAAGACCACATCAATGAGCTATAAGTCAATGTAGGAAAAATACCCTTGTAGAGAAGCTTTTACAAAAAAAAATTAAAAAGCATGAGGAAATTCCTTTGGAACATCATGTAAGGAAACAACATCTGCAAAATAGTTTCTAATAGGAGAGGAAATTGAGCAATGAACAGAAAACAAGTTTGAAGGAAAAAAATGACACAAAATTTCCCTGATATAGGGAAGAAAAAACACACAAAAATCCAAGAAGCTCACAGAGTCCAAAGCAAAATGAACCCCAAAAGAACAACCCCAAGGCACATTATATTTAAATTGGCGAACAACAACCACAAAGTAAGAATTTTAAAAGTGGCCAGAAAGAGAAGAAAGTTACCTACAAAGGATCCCCCATCAGACTAGTGACTGATTTCTCAACAGAAACCCATCAGGCCAGAAGGGAACTGAATAAAATATACAAAGTCATACAAAGGAAGGGTCTGAATCCAAGAATACTAGAGAGGTAGCTTTTTTCCTTTCTATCTGAAATTCTAAGAATTATACTCTTTATATATAGGATTCATAAATGTATCATAAATTCATGACATATATTATTTGGATTTTC